ATCATTGTAGACGGCGGCTGTACCTATAAGCATCTAGATAATCTTGTAGTCCTCAAGGAGATGACAGCCTCATCAAGACTATTCTCCTAGCTTACACGCTCTACAAAACGTTCCCCATGCTCTTAAGAAACCCCAGTCCTCTTGGCATTTTATACTCCAGAGATGCAGTAAGCAACATGAGTCTCGGTAGAATGAACACCTCCTCGCTCTCCTTATCATCCTTCGATCTTACGCCATCCTCCAGCCCGTCTCCAGGACCTTGTTCGCTTAGTCTATCAAAAGTGACACACAATCTGACATTTGGCTCTGCTTGTGTTGGATACAGCAAATGTATCGCAGGATTTCTATAACTTCTTCATCGGGTTGATGTTGGATCGGTGGATCATAGACAAGCGAACTGATAGAATTACTGTTCTTGGCGCCGTTGTTATCGCCCTGAACTTGTTGATAGCTCTTAGAAAGCTTTACACTCAGTAAAATCGAGTGTCTTCAGCTTTACCAACACATATTGCATAAGGGAAGGCAAGATAACGTAGTTCCGGAGCTCCGGAGTAGGACGCCGGGGTTTTCTTAAATCTCCGTACAAGGTACTAAAAGATGATGAACCCCTCCACTACAAACAGCACAAATTCTGCCATTCATCTTCTAGACTTCACGAAATTCTTGGAGTTTAAGAATATTAAATGTTTACTAAATATCTCATTATTTCATAAAATATTTGGGAGCCCAGTCCAGTTTGGGGCCATATCTTTCCAGAACCATATAAACCAAGAACAAAGAAAAAGGTATCAACGTATCGTCCCAAGTTCGATCATACATATCCAAACAGTGCCAATCATTGGTCATTATAAAGTCATTTCCAACATAAGCAGGTAACCTTCTACCGTTTTCGAACCATGTCCTTTCTTGAACCATATCGTTGGAGCTTCGTCATTTATACATCGCCCACGAGCTCGTCGTGGTAAAATGACCCGATTAGGCTATTCAGGACTTGCCTTGAACGGGTGATTCAAAGAGTGTCTCCATTCCACCGACATAACTTATGTCCCCGAATTGATTGCGAAAACCAAGGGCAGTTTGCTTTAGGTAATGGTTGCCAACATCGCGCGCACCAATCCAGGCGGAGGTCCTGCACACTTCAGGTTAGCCGCTTCTTCGATCAAGCAGACCGATGCAAAAACAAAGCGGCGCACCTTCATCGGAATTTTGGCACGCTAATGAACATCCTACCTTTCTTGTCCTTCTCAAGGCGTGGGGGCTTGTGAGCTGGCACAAGTCTCTCCGTCTGCTCTTCGTATACAATAAGCTCTCCGTTTGGCAGCCTTTCGGTTCGAATAAGCTCGCGTTCTCCAACCTCGCGTCTTGGCCGGTGTGTCAATTCCTTTTCAAGCGCACGAATCTCGGCGCGGATTTCCCTTCCACTTCGTGATTTGGAGCGAGACTTGGAGCGGTGGCGTTTAACCAGTTCATAGTCTCCAGTATGAAGATGATGTGAATTGTGGTGGTTGGTGGTCCAGTCACTGCTGCTGCGAGACGAAGGGGAGTTTTCTCGATAAACGGACCTATCCACCTCCACATACTTTCCAGGGCTGGCTTCAATGATGACAGGAGCTGGTGGTTGAGAAGGTACAATGATTGCGGGAGGATGAGGATGAGGATGAGGATGAGGATGAGGGGGAGGATAATGATGATGATGATGAGAAGGAGGAGGGGCTGGTGCCTCGATAATATACTCTTCTCTGCGCTCCTCTCTGCGCTCCTCGATAATGTTGCCGGCTGAGGACCGAGCAGCAAGAATTTCCATCTCACCTGTTTGAATGCGAGTCAGCTTCATTGGCAAACACAAGATAACGGAAAAACTTACTCTTCTTGTATTCTTCGCTCAGCTTGAGAAGCTCATCAATATTGTTCTGACCCAAGGCCTTCTGGACGACGATGATGGTTCCCTACAACCCACGTTAGTAAAGATTGGAGACAATCTTCAAGGATAGACGGGACATACCTCTTCGACAAAGGGATAGCTAAGATCAATCAAGGCTCGCTTGGATACAAGTCTTGCTGGAATTCTCGTCTTGCCCTTCTTGGGATATTCTTTCTTGACAGTAGTGCCGCCACTGCTGCTGCTGCTACTGGAGCTGGAGCTGGATGATCGTGTGGCGGATGTTCTGGACTTTTTGGAAGATCGTGATCTGCCGCGGTGGCGGGTTTTGCGGGAATCTCGGCTCCTGTCTCGAACTTCCTTTTCCTTTTCCTTCTCCCTTATGAATTCTCGTTCAACAATGTGTTCGGTCGGATATGGAGGGAAATGTTCTTCGTGGCGGTCATGCTCGGTGACGTGAATATCTTCATAGAAGCGCTCATCGTATCGGCGAGGTGGTGGTAGGCCACGACTCTTGGGAAGCGGGATTGGCGTGTATGGGGGTGCTCGGTATTCTTCTTCACGACGTATATCCTCACGTCGTACGGGAGCTGGGTACTCCTCACGATCGGGGAAGCGATGGAATGGGTGACGATCGAAAGTGTCGAGCGAAGACTGACGGCGGAGGAAGGCGGGGCGGCGAGGGGAAGAATCGCGGTGGTATTCACGATCGCGTTCCTTTTCCATGACGACACGGCGGTCGTATGGCTCCTTTCGGGGTTCTTGTCTCATGTCTTCTTCAAAGTATCGTCGATCACGGAGCATTTCGTCATCGAAGGAAGGCCTGCCACGTCGACTGTCGAGGGAACGATCTCGTCCTCGACCACCGGTCATATAATGTCGATCATCCTCGAATCTGTCTCTCTCCTGCTCTCTCTCCCTCTCGTATACAAAGCGTTCGCCGCGGCCCGCCATGCTTAGCTCAAGTTACGGTGTGTGATGTTGGTGTATTTCGAGTGGTACAAAGGCCTTGGTGCAGTGGTGATGCGGGGTTGTCGCTGTCGTCTTTGTCCAATCCAATGGTTGTCGATGCAGCAAAAATAATGGACTCAATATACAGGTGAGTCGTGTCCAGGTCTGATTTGGCGGAAGCAGGAATGAATGAAACTGGAAGGAGGAAAGAAAAGAGGATGAATCAGGGTTATAATTGTTCAAGAAATTTGGGGGTGGGAGGTTTGGATGGACGGATGGATGGACGGATGGATGGACGGACTGGACTGGAGCCCTCCTCTTTCTCTTCCTTTGAATGGGCGCGATGACGTTGTGGGTGTCTGCGCCCCACTTACTCACCTCCCCACCCCACCCAAACTACACCACCCTGTTTTCCCAGTTTCTAGCGCCCGAAGCACCCCGTGACGACAGTGGCACAGCACCGTCTCCTGTCCATCTGAGGGACTGACTGAGACAGCTGAGGCGGTTCGACACTAAAGCTGTGACCTCTGTCTAAACGGCCGTTGGGTACCTTGAACTTGTGCCTTGATTGTCTCGTTTAACAACCCTGCCATCCTTCAACCCTTGCAAAAAAAGATAAAAAAATGCAGATGCCTAATGAAAATCCAAGGCGAGCAACAATGCAGTCGTGTACGCAGTAGGACGAATCATGTTCCTCAAACCAGGGTTGAACGTTACAGTCCCATTTTATTCCGTGTATTGCACCTCCACCCACTGCATCAACCAAGGTGGTCCGTCCATGTACTGCACTCTACGTACAGGTACTTGTAGGTGTACATATGGAGACAGGTATAGATTACAATGCATGAGAAAACGGCCTGAAGGAGACCCAAAATAATTAGAAGCCTAACAAAAGAAATCATAAATAATGAAGGTCTGGGAAAATAGTGAAAGTCATAATTACTTACAACTTATTATCCGTAGTACTTCATCCTTTGGACTCTCTTCCAGACCATCATGTGGTCGGTACCTCAGGGTCTGTCCAGGTGAGCGGGTCTGGTGGTTGTACCTTTTGTACCTTCTGAGGCGCTGTACCTCCATCGCGTACCCAAATGACCTTGAACAAAAGACCTCTAAAGACTTACAAGTTCCTTGTGTTGGTTCAACATAAAGACGCTGTCTCACGGCAAAGAAAGCGACTGGGAAATCTTGCACCTATTTTTAAGTCCTTTCTTCATCGTTGGTTCATTGTCTCTGTATCGACATCTTTCATCTTCAATGAATGACCATCTCGGGTGAGGTCTGCTGCAGGGACATGGTTTGACTCACAAAAGGCCCCCAATTGTTTGACAGCTCTCTCATCCATGCATTCCATTCCATTCCAAATCAAGAACCGAGACTCTTCTCTTTCATTCCATCTTAAACTTTGTCTTGTTCTGTCTCTCTCCTCTCCTCCCCCCGTGCTACCCGGCACCTGTGATGAGTTCTTGCATCATGCCTCAACAAATGCAACCTCTTGAAATCAGCAGTAAACCTCACATTTCTTCACATGCGAGTATGACTCTGGAGTGCAACAACGTTCTTGGCAGCTCACCATCTTGAACCACATTTGTGCAACCCTTTCCATGCAAGCGATAAGCCATGTATTGATGCAAGCAATGACTCAAAGTGAGGATCCTCCATGCCCCCTCAATTCATGGTTCGTCATGGATGCAACCCTCAAGAATGCCAGCGGCCTCTTCCCAACCAACGTCTTCTTCGTAACTTGCCATCACATACCAAAATGCAATCAACTTGTCAACCAAATTAGAGTCATGGGCACCAATGCAACAGTCGGTTTCCCCTACAAATCGGCTCTGGACCCGACTCCGCCTTCCGCTGCATTAATATCGAGTACCTTGCCTTAGTCTTGGGCATTCTTCTAGGCGTCCATCCTCACCAATACATGTCCTACTGCGCCTCACGGCCCGCACCTCAGCCTCTTCCTCCCCCTTCAGCCCCAGAGGTTGCCTCTTCTGCGGCCCTCAAGAGTCACACGCCGCCTGTCTTCTCAATCTCCTCAGCCCATTTTCTCCATGTATTTCCACGATGCACCCCATGCAAACCATCTCTTCTTCTATTGTATACCTCGCTGTCGTTTGGACACGTTCACAATTCGAATATTCTCACTCATCCGACATCAAATCTCATCGGGCGAATGGTCTAGTGGTATGATTTTCCCTTAGCATATTTCAACCTTCAAGTTGAGTGAGCTTGGGAGAGGTCCGGGGTTCAATTCCCCGTTTGTCCAATTTTTTGCTCTTTCTTTCTCTTCTTTTTTACCCTTCGTCTATACGTGGTGTAAATGTCTGTCTTTATTCTTTTTGGTTTCACAAATGACCATATACAAATTTTTCTGATCGTATGTCTTGCAGCTGTGGATGTTGCCGAGTGGCCTCAACCTTTTGAATACTTCAACGGGATGATCCAAACATTCATGGATCTAACCGAAGTTTGCAAAGAGATCAAACGGTTCTATTTAACCGGTCAAGTTTTCTTCGTTATCACAGTTTCAATGCCAAGTGAATACAGGATTTGATGTATTCCTTGCAATTTATTCACCTTGTTATCATCTCGTAAAAGGAGTGTACAGCTTCATTCCACCAGATCTCACATGTTATCAACCATCCATATTCAGCATTCAATTCATCTTACCGACCTAGAAATCTGGTTGGTGTACAATTTTTCACAAAAGGCCAAGCTCCTGCAATAGTGCTCTCTCATCAATGACCTGCTCACATGTCCAACTCGATGGCGGAGAGCCGGTGATCAGCTGAGTAATACCCATCTCCAAGATTATGTGGTCAGTGTAGTCAGGGCGAAATTCCTCCACGTCGATAGAAGCGTTCTTGGCAGCGGTATCGCGACGGACTTGTTCAATGTAATCGGCTCGCGCTGCCTCCAAGGTAGGGTGGCGGCTGTGCCGTTTGCAGTTACGTATATGTTGATCAGCCTTTGTGCGGGCGACGATGCATTTTTGGTTGCGGTATTTGCAGATTTCCAAGATTTTTAGGTCGAGCTAGATTCAAGTATCAGAAACGATAAAAGAGAAACCCCACGAGAGACATGCCTTTTTTTGGAGGGGGGAACCTACTTGCCGAAGAGTCGAGCTGTGCACCAGCAGAATCTTGTCATATGCAAAGAGATTTTGGTTATAGTAATAGCCCCACGCTGAGAAATTATAGGTTCCCGCGCCTGGAACATCATGCCAAACGAAACCTGGATGCTTCTCATCCATGTATGGCATCGAACGGGTAGTTGACTCCGTTTCGCCAACCATGGCACTGTTTGCGCCGTTGTGGTCTAGCCCACGAAGACAGTTGACAAGTGTCGATTTGCCCTCATTTTGGCTGCCAACAACTGCAATGTTTTGATGGCCATTCACATATTTAATATCTAGTCTAGCCTGGCGGACTTCTTCTTCAGTAACGACACGATCTGGTTCTATCCCTCTGCGATGGAAACAAGTGTTAGACTCCAGTTAATGACAGACAAGCAAAACGACGGCGACAAGACGATATCGAGTATAACTGAGAAGTTGGGGTCACTGACAGTTTTCTCAGTTCCTGTTCTGTCTTGACTATCCTTTCCGCTTCCGTAGCCCGCTTTTTTGCGTCCCTCAAAGCTGCTTCAGCTCGCAGCCTGTCTGCTCTAAAGAAAATATCATAAATAATGTCTTTGCCCTTCATCACGCCGGCTATCGTGACTATGTCGGGATTTATAGTGGCAAGGTGCAACCCAGTTAATCGAGATGGCTGTCGATATATGGACTGGTTGTTTTTTTGGGCGAGGATGCCTCGGTTATTTATTTACTTCAAGTACTTCCCTTAGGTGCCCTTCTACTCAATATTTACACGCATCTCCATTTGCGGGGTGCCCATGTCGGAAAATGCCTACCAGCCATTCCATACTTAAACGCCACTGCAACGTTAGTTGCCTGCATCCTATATAGCGAATGATGGGCGTCTTTCGGTGAGGAGACGGGGACCTCAACCCATCAACGAAAGCCACGTCGATTACCAGAAATTTTCAAGTGACGTCAACAGTTGATCAGACAAAATGAAGCTACCTATAGAAGCCGGCCGATCAATCAAGAAGGAAGGTATGGAAAACCAGGAGAACAATGCCATGTTCGAGGCCAGGATTCTAGAACCATTGAACACTATGGACAAGGCAACCACGGGAGCCTCAGCGGGACTTTAGTGAGAAGGATGAGACTTTTCATGCATGATTTTGGTTATCTATACCGTTAATTGGTGACAGCAGCACAGCCTGGTGGGTCTCTTGAGTGGGTGTGTCGGGTTAATGGAGGCCAGGTCTACGTCTTGGTCAATATCATGCTCTTTACGCGATGAAATTAGCTCAACGGAGAGCCTTACCAGGCAACCTTTCAACAAACCACGACACTGCGCCGCAAAGGTTCGCACGCAAGAATGGCGGGTAGAGCGAAATATGCCAATGAGCTGTAAATCTATGCACTGAAAGGGGAGGCCAACAAATAGCGACAGAAACACTTTCATTTTGAACTGTGCTTGGAGATTGCAAACTATCTATGGTACACTCAATAAAATTCTAGTGAAAATTAGTTGGATTATGCTCGAGTTCTTTTAGGATCAATCTCACCACATTCATGCAATGTTTGGCCGAGCCTGCCAAGTCTACGACCATGTTCAGAGATCAAAAAAAATCACAAAGTGAATTTGGACTAGATACATTTTGATACTTGATACACTAGATGTGCTAATTTACTACTGCGCACAATGAGTTCCATCCATACCACTTAGAGAAGCAGTATATTTAAAAAGCGTAGACAAAAAGCTAACCAGTCGAAAAAGACTAGGTTGTCTCTCCATCTCTTTGTCCAAGTCACCTTATTCTCACATTGTGATTTCGAAACAAGTCGAGCATCATTTAGCAGCCAACATAGATATCGTTGGCGAATAGGGCATAGGTGTTGACATGGTTCAAGTTCTGGGCAGCCGACAGGGAGCGAGCAAAGTTGTAGCCGTATCCACCGTAGTCTTCCGTACCTTTGACTTGGATTAGATGAGTAAACTCGTGAATATTGGTAGTAGCCTGATCTTGAGTGTGGCAGGATCCAGTTAAAGCAGGAAGAGCTGTGAAGTAAAGGTTGCAATAGACCATTAAGCTGTCGGATGGGGAGGTGTATGCCAGAACACCATTGCTACAGGCCCCAAACACATCGGAGTAGTAGTAGCGGGACGCACCGCCAGTGGTTGAACCGCACTCAGATGCCACACGACTAAAGACGCCAGAGACGGTGTTTCGGGCGCTTGTGGTCGAGGACTTGAAGTACTCGGTGAACTTGGTGGCAGAACCAGAGGCAGCAGCCGTTTAAGCACGCTGTGCAAGCGAGACACAATTACGCAAGGCAGTCTGAGCAACCGAAAGCTTGCTGCCAATGCAGCCGCTCTGAGAGATCGCTTACTCCCATAGAGCAGATCCATCCTCTCCTATTTTTGAGAACGTAGACTAGCTAACTATTGACTCTATCACAGTATCCTTCAACTTCGTCGCCAGTAATCACGATATCAATTGTCTCGTTAAAAACCTACAAATTTTACTTGAACATGTTCGCTTGAAGTTGAGTTGGTCAATTAGCGGGCAACGGCGGTCACCGTTCAACTATTTGGCAGCCAAAAGTAATACGTGTAAACCGTTTGCCTCAAACTTGAGTATATCTCGGCATCCCCCTCGGAAATATCACCACATGAGTCAAGCTCAAATGCAGTTTAAAGTTGGCCCTTTTAAAGTTGATTCTCAATTCAGCAGGTATCCCAACGTACAGTTTGGAAAATACCGCAGGATGGTCTGCAGCTCAATTTGGAAGGGAGATTTTAACGAATCACAGATCTGTTCTCTATGATGCCAAGACATGGTAATTGAAGCATGATATATTGAGGGAGTATGGCAATCTAAATCTCCTATAGCCATCCTGAGGATGATTTACATTCACGGGGTGGAAATGGCATTAGATGGCTCATTCCCAGGGTGGTCGCCGTGTTTGTCTGTTTTCTGGGTCATCGCTAGTCTACATGCTGAAGTTGGGAGCTGCCAAAATAGTACTGGTTCAAAGATGGACATGGAACAGTTCGGTAGATAGAAAATAGAATCTATTTTGCATCGGCAGAATAATCAGAGAATAGAGTGTCATTATGTTTCCAGCAAAAATGCATTCAGTAGCACAAATTCGGTGTCCAGTATACTTCTGCCACTTAACATCTTAGCATGCCTATATGTCTGAACAAAGGTTTGCCGAGGAGAAATATCGGCTACCCAGATTACGGGACATTGCACTTGAAGGTAAATGGTGGACGCCTTAAGCATGCTTCCGGAAGGTGGCACAATTTCTAAGCTTCTGTAAATGCTTAATGGTTGTTTCGATTACCTTCCGCTTTGGATTCGTGATCAATTACCACGAGTCCGGGTGTTGTGAGTGAAACACATTCACAGGGTTACGCCAGGTTAACGCATCTATGATGTCGCCATCGGTCAAAAGATCCCAACCAGGCAGCTCGATCTTCACCGAGAGGCTAACCCCGCAAGTTCAATAGGAGTTAGATAAGAACATACCTAAAGTAGTTCATCTTGCTTGAAGACATACAGAAATAGATCCGCAAATCAATTACGGTGTGCCTAATACCGGGGAGGACGTGGCGTGTCATATTCGGGGCAAACAATCCCCAAATCAAGAAGGCGTTATACCATGACAAGCCAAGGCATCAGATGCAAAGAATAGCCACCCATGGCCGTAAAACTAGGCATGGATAATAAAGAAAGTGTAGATGAGTAACCAGCTGGTAATCTCCACCAAGGGCATCCTCACTTCAGCCATCTCCATGTTAGTAAATGCAAAGGTCAAAAGATATCGGTGCTCTTAATGAGAGTCTTAACTAATACTCATACTGTCATCAGTCAAGGCCCAAACAGAGAATTGTCATCAGCATGTCTCATCAACCCCACCTTAGCCAGCCAAGACAATGCCTCACCTAGAGCTATATCGGGCAGGTCTTACGCAACCTAGCAAAGGACAAGTAGGCAACGATGAACCACAAAACTTCTGCCTGTGACGTTTTCTTCTTCATAAATTCAACTTGTCATTCGAACTTGTTTTTTATCCCATCGCCATCCGTCATCAACTTCTACAGTCATTCAATGGGCTTCATTCGCTCTTCAACCATACTTCGCCTTATTCTCGTCTTCATCTCCACAGTCGCCATTTTCACACTT